TGTTGTTGATCATCTGAGGTTGTATTTACCTAATTTTAATACCTGCTAAGGAACAGATGATCGTAATTATGTCCTGACATGTAAAACCTTAGAATTCAAAGAGGGTGTACTTTCTTTTTCTCATGACTATATATGTATATACATATATAATTCATAATAATTGATTTTCTCTCTCCTCCTGGTTTGTATATTTATTCCTCATTCTCCGGCCTGCCTGGTAATCTGAGGGTCCTGCGCAGTTTCATAGCTGTTCTTAGATCTGCACTCTTCTGAACAGTGATCTCCCACTTGGAATCTGTTGAAGTCATTTCCCCAATTGGGGGCCGCAGCCCCGAGTGCTCCTATCACAACTGGGACTACTACGGCCATTACATAATGAAGTACAATTTGTCCCTGTTTCAGCATACTGCTCTGGTTCTAAATTTCAAGTTTGTAGGTTTTGTTATTCTGATTAAATGGTTGTTTTCTTATTACCAGCTAGTGATGTTGCGAACCGTCCGCGAACTTGCCGCGAACCGTTCGTGGCGAACTCCGGTCAGCTGACACATCCCTGCCGATCTCCGGCAGACCCTCCCTCCCAGACCCTCCTACTTCCTGGACAGCATCCATGTTGAAGGCAGCTTCAACATGGATGCTGTCCAGGAGTTGGGAGGGTCTGGGAGGGAGGGTCTGCCGGAGATTGGCAGGGATGTGTCAGCTGACCAGTGTTCGCCACGAACCGTTCGCGGCAAGTTCGCGGACGGTTCGCGACATCACTATTACCAGCATTAATTTGAATCCTGTTAACATTTTTCCATTATCTCTCTATTCTTCACTTTCTTTCACTGCCTTTTTTTCAAGTTAGTGTAATATTTTTCTTTACATAATGTACTTCATCTTTCTCTCTAACATATATTGTAATGTATTTGAATTAAACATTTTTTTTGTTCAAAGTCAAACCAATAAATAAAACAATATTGAAAAGTTTAAAACAGAAAAACATGGCATTCTGCTAATATAGTAGACAGACTAGTGCACTCAATTTTGACAGTACTACATGATTGTTTATAAAATAAATAACTATATATAAAATATTTAACAAATTGCTAGTTTTATAGTTACCTGGTATTTGTTCAGTAGGATTTTAGCTTAAGACTAGCACACAGTTAACATTTACACGAATGATGACATTATTAAATGCCCCATTGGAAGTTAAAGTATATAAAGAAAGAAAGAAGAATGATCAATGAAAGAGCATCTCTATTATGGAAACATCTAAATCTATAAATGCGCCTAACGAATAACACATATGAAGAATCAAGAGGACCTTAAAGTGAAACTACAGGGCTAGGAAAACTAAGTTGTTTAAACACTCCCTCCCTGTGTTGCTGGAAGTGCTAAAAGCCTTTCTGTCACTTACCTGATTCCAGTGCCGATGTCAGCCGGCGGGGGGACCTAATGTGCGTGCTCAGTGCTTTCCTATGGGATTTTAGACAATGCTGAATGTCTTCATGCATATTGTGAGGAGGTCCAGTGTCAGTTAGGCAATCAAAAGTAATCTAGAGGTGAAGTTAACCCTGCAACATAATTATTGCAGCTAATCAATAACTGCAATAATTAATATTGCAGGGTTAAGGGGACTGGGACAATGAGCTGAAGGGGTCTGGGTGCTTACAGTGTCACTTTAATATGTGCAGTATAAAGAAAAAAATCAAAGTATTAATATGTTGAATATGAGGATTACGTAAGACCTAAATATGAACAATCTGAAAAATGACTTCAAGGATGTATTATGTATAATCATGATGATAGACAATGCAATAAGAATTTGATCACAATTCCATAACCATCAGCTATATTAAGGAATTCAGCTAGGATGTATGTTTCTAGAGCTTTTTAGAGCAATTAAACCTAATTTGAAGGCAGAAGTGAAAGACACGGGGTAAAAGTACAAGTAGTACTGTTTGTCAAACAGATGAATAGGAGTTTTTAGGTAGATGGGAAGAGATGCAAATTAAATGGGCTGGCATTTCTAATCTGTTTTTCTAGATGAACATATCTGGACAGATGCAATGATTTCTATGGGACTGCTTGCCTTCCAGCTGCTTGCAGTGCTGTCAAAGGAGAGAGTCTGATAAGACAGAAAGATAATGTTGCACCTGGTCTGTCTCTTTCTCAGCTCAATAACATGGCTCCTTTGAGCCTCATTCTCAATTATCTCTAATGACTTAATAACTTTGATTGGCTGCAATCTAAGGTCTTTAGAGAGCATGCAAACAGATGGGCACACATATTAACACCTTCACACCCAAGGCAGATGTATTGCTGACCCTCTAATCAGCAAAGAGACGAACAAAATGTAAAGGATAAGAGCATGTAGTGTCAGAAAGGATAATGTTCTAATTATGTCTGATTGGTGTAGGCATGAATCAGATGTGTTGTTATCAAACTTGCTTGATTATAAGTATGTCTAATTTCATAAAAAAACTTAAAAGGGAAATATATACTGTTGAATGAAAAAAAGATTCAAGATGCAGAAATGAAAGTTCAGGCGTTTAGATATTATTCATAAGTCATTTTTTTTGAATTTTTGACAGGTACTGCCTATTGAGCACTTTACCATCTTTTTATGTTGTTTTCTATTGTTGATTATAAGGAACTCTTGTCATTGATTAATTCTCCACATTGACTTCAACAGCCGCTAGCATCGTCTCAAAGCAGACTGTGAATCATTCCCTAATCAGAATGTTTCCAATTTGTAATTAGAAATAATTTAGTTGTAATTAATATGAATCACTAATAATTACCTTTGATGAATCTACTAAAAATCACTTGTAAACTGTATGGGGTTCCATTGTGTAATTTAGATAAAGGGCAAATTAAGGTTGCGTGAATATTTATTCATTTTATGGAGTACAAACTGATAGTAGCTTGTAAGTTCTGCAATTTATGGGCAATGGGTAAGATCAATGGTCGCATCAAAATAGTGAGTGATAGTGAATAATGAAAACTAACTTAAAATAGTTAATACAAAATTGGAAAGAAACAATATCTGAAATATATAATAAAAAATAATCAGAAGATCTGGATTTGTTTTTAAAGTCTACTATTGTGGTTCTCACATGACCAAAACTCTTACATGAAAAAAAATAGTTGCGGTGCACTCAGACTACAAAAAATACAACACAAAGAAGGCTTCTAAATTGCCTATCTAAGAATAAATATGGGGATTTAGTTTCACCATATGGCCATATGATGTTAAGCCCACCACTGCTTTCAAAGTACCCCACCAACATTGTATTTTTTGGAGTCTGAGTGCGCCACAACTATTTCTTTCATGTATGAAGTTTGGTCACTGCGGCAGCACCTTTCATGCAAAATGCAGGTCTCGGGTGTGCCCCCAATCCTTTCTCTACGACCAAAACTCTTGACTGACCATGAAACATTTCACAGTTAATTCCAGTACAAAATAAACAAAAGAAATTGGATTTTGCAGGACTCAAAATATCCTTACAAAGAATTTGTATCTTATCTGGCCAGGCATTATATGACATGAAGTTCAAAACCAACGAGAGTAGGGATATCAAACTCTTGCCCTCCAGAAGATGATGGCCTACAACTTCCAGAATTTGTTTAATGCAATAGATGACCAGAGAATCATGGGAGTTGTAATTCAATAACCTCTGGGTGGTTTGAAATGTGTGTTCTAGAGTGTCAAAGATTTAAAAAAGCCTAACAGTCCCAGAACATCACAGCCAATCATAATGGAATGAATGTTAAAGAAAATGACTCAGTCACGTCATTGGAACTGACTTGTCTGCTGATCTGTGCTTTAAGATGTTTTCTTTCACTTGACCACTTGAAGGTGATTCTCTATCCTGTAACAATTCTGGAGTAATGGTGTTTCTGAGCATAACCCAAATATTTTGCTAACCAGCACTATGACTTTTTACAATCCTCATGCATCCACCTGTATTACTGTCACTTATTACAGATCACAAATGTATGATTCAAGAAATGTAACAACAATCTGAATGCTGGGTGGTAATATAAAAATGAAATCCTGCAGCATGCTATTACATGCTGATTAGTATTTATCAATATGATGATTATTATAACTACTCTATGAAATTAGATCTGTCAAGGGTTCAGAGAGAAAGTCCCCAGGTTGGTTCAGGTGCTCTTAGTGGCGGTTTTTGGTGTTAAATTTATTCCATGGATAAATGTAATTCCTACCAAATTCAATACAGTAACATGTAGTGATGTCGCGAACCGTTCGCGAACTTGCCGCGAACGGTTCGCCACGGTTCGCCACGAACCGTTCGCGAACTTGCCGCAAACGGTTCGCCACGGTTCGCCACGAACCGTTCGCGGCGAACTCCGGTCAGCTGACACATCCCTGACAATCTCCGGCAGACCCTCCCAGACCCTCCTATTTCCGGGACAGCATCCATGTTGAAGGCAGCTTCTGAACTTATCTTATAGTTAGGATAGCCTTATGCCTATCCCATGCATGCTTAAACTCCTTTACTGTGTTAACCTCTACCATTTCAGCTGGAAGGCTATTCCATGCATCCACTACCCTCTAATTTACAACTATGTCCTCTTGTTGTGGTAGTTGTTCTTTTAAATATGGTCTTCTCCTTTACTGTGTTGATTCCCTTTATCTATTTAAATGTTTCTATCATATTCCCCCTGTCTCGTCTTTCCTCCAAGCTATACTTGTTAAGATCGTTTAACCTTTCCTGGTAAGTTTTATCCTGCAATCCATGAACCAGTTTAGTATCCCTTCTCTGAACTCTCTCTAAAGTATCAATATCCTTCTGGAGATATGGTCTCCAGTACTGCGTACAATACTCCAAGTGAGGTCTCACCAGTGTTCTGTACAATGGCATGAGCACTTCCCTCTTTCTACTACTAATACCTCTCCCTATACAACTAAGCATTGTGCTAGCATTTACTGCTGCTCTATTACATTGTCTGCCTACTTTTAAGTCATCAGAAATAATCACCCCTAAATCCCTTTCTCAGATGTTGAGGTTAGGACTCTATCAAATATTCTGTACTCTGCCCTTGGGTTTTTACGTTCAAGATGCATTATCTTGCACTTATCCACATTAAATTTCAGTTGCCACAACGCTGACCATTTTTCTAGTTTACCTAAATCATTTGCCATTTGGCTTACCCCTCCTGGAACATAAACCCTGTTACACATCTTAGTATCATCAGCAAAACGACATACCTTACCATCAAGACCTTCTGCAATATCACTAATAAAAATATCAAAGAGAATGGGTCCAAGTACAGATCCCTGAGGTACCCCACTGGTGACAAGCCCAAGCTTCGAATATACTCCACTGAATACAACCCTCTGTTGCCTGTCACTCAGCCACTGCCTTACCCATTCAACAATATTGGAATCCAAACTTAAAGATTGCAATTTATTGATAAGCCTTCTATGTGCAACAGTGTCAAAAGCCTTACTGAAATCTAGTTAAGCAATGTCTACTGCACCACCCTGATCTATTATTTTAGTTACCCAATCAAAAAAATCAATAAGATTAGTTTGGCATGATCTCCCTGAGGTGAAACCATGTTGTCTCTGATCTTGAAATCCATGTGTTTTTAGATGTTCAACAATCCTATCATTTAACATGGTTTCCATTACTTTCCCCACTACTGAAGTAAGGCTTACTGGCCTATAGTTGCCCGACTCCTCCC